GTTTCTTAACTATTCTTAACTTCAAGCCTTTACAATTTTTAATTAAAGCCTTTGGGCATTTTCGTCCAGTGTCTTTTTGCAGTTAAAATCCTAAAATTAAATTGGAGTTATCAAATGACGTATAATATTTTGTGAAATATTTTAACTCTTCTAGTCTAACAGTCTTACAAAGCATTAGTTAAATTATACTAAGTCCGGAAGGTAACCGCGTCTTATGGGATTTTGAGGTGTGCCTCACACCTTCCCCTTAAGTTAATCTGAACCCTTACCTTAGAATCTCTCATATTTAATAGATTTTAATGGATTTTAACTTTACATTATCTTGTTTAAAATAGGTGTCCTAATTCACCTTTAAAACAATTAGGTGGCGACTCTTTAATTAATAATTAATTCAGGAATTACCAATATGTTATACTCTAATTTGACCCGGTTAAAATGAGGTATAACAGCGATCGCGAAGGACAATGCTTCCCCTGCCAAGGTCTCCTTCTTTGCATTTGCAATTGCCAAGATACGTTCGCAAAGAACACCCTTAGTCAACCCTTCGTGTCCGTGGACACACAGCCGCGTTCGTGAAGGCCAAAGTCTGCCAGCCCATTCCTTCTTCGCGTTCGCGAAGGCACCTCCACATTCACGAAGAGGAACCAGGTCATCCATCGCGTTCGTTAGGCCTGCTTCGCTTCCCCGAAGAGCAACCACTGCTCCATTCCAAATTCCTTCTTCACGATCGCGGGACCACCTTCGCAATCGCGAAGAGCACCAGCAAAAATCTGCCAACTTTAACATTGTTCTAGGTGGTCCAAAACTCACCCGAGCCACCCGGGACCCCTCTCCCTCCCATTTATACCAACAAGTCCATAAACATAATCCGGACCTATTCAAGGCCTCGGAACATATAAAATAACATTGCAACCAAGAATCACACCGCAAACTAACTACCCAACTTATAAACTTCAAACTTCTTCCAACTAGCTCCGAACACGACGAATCATACTTAGACAACTAGGAATAATACCAAATTTCACACACAAGGCCAATATGGATAAATGAACCTACTCCATGTCAACATGCCAAACGGGATCCGATATCAACCAAAGTCCACTTCAAGTCAAACTTAAAAACTCTAAAACCTTCAAAATGCCAATTTTATCAATAAGCGTTGAAACGCTCGCGGTCCACCCGAGATTAGATCCGAATATATGCCAAATTTTAAAATTACCATACGAACCTATTGGAACCTTCAAATTCCCATTTTGAGGTCGTTTACTCAAAGTGTTAACTTAAGTCAAACTCGGCCACCTTGGGCCACTATTATGGAACTAAATGTTCCGAATTCAACTTGAAACCTTTCAAAATAAAACCAGTCGCCCTACAAGTCATAAAATAGGAAAAACACACACTAGAAGTCTTAAATAGCTAGTGGAATAGGATTCTAGAAAGCAAAACGTCCGGTTGAACCTTTATATTCTCCACCTCTAAAATAAGTGTTTGTCCTCGAACGGGTTCAAAATCATACCTAAAGTGCCAAATAAGTATGGATATCTACTACGTATGTCCTCCTCAGTCTTCCAATTCGCCTCTTTGACTGGCTGACCCCTCCACTGAACCTTCATAGATGAAATCTCCTTAAACCTCAACCTTCAAACTTGCCTATCAACAATGACAATCAGCTCCTCCTCGTAACTCACTCTCATCCATTTGAATTGTGATATAATCCAACACGTGGGACTTGTCGGCATGGTACCTCCGGAGCATAGACACGTGAGATGCCTGATGAACTGCTAATAGGCTAGGACGCAAATCAAGTCTATATGCAACCTCGCCAACTCGCTCCAAAACCTCGTACTCAACTTCCCTCTTCTAGTGAATCTCATGATACCCTTATACTTTCAAATGTACCTTCTCGACCACCATAAATAACAAATCACGCGCTTTTTTATCCGTGTAACTCTTCTACTTGAACTAATGTGCAAAGTCGCTCCTGAATCAACTTTACCTTATCCAAGACATTCTTTACCAAATTAGTACCATACAACCTAGCCTCTCGAGCACGAACCAATCGATAGGGGAACTATATCGTCGACCATTTTTAGAGTACTAGTCTTATGTTACGCGCGTTGCGCGTGCACCCAACTCAATTAATATATACTTTTTAAAAATCATATAAATATTATATTAAAAATTTGTATTTGAGGTATAAAATATAATCTAAGAGAGTGAAGAGTGTTGAATTAATTAATGAATAGCAATTTAATAAATTTGACTCTTAATATTATATTATAACTTATCTCTTGTTTTTTAATTTTTTACGCTGCCGTTTCTCTTCTCAAGGGCACAAGTTATGTACCCTATTTATGTCAATTTGAAAAATAATTTTTGATGAATTATTAAAAGAGTCGAGTTGGATTATTTTGCTAATTAGTTAATTAAGTGACTTAATTATTTGTCACACAGTAAAATATTTTGTTGAATTGCATTGTTAATGCTAGCTTGTGCCAAATTTCAAATATTCAATAATTATTGTTTTTCCAATCATATTCTATTTTTAAATGGTAAATCAATGATCACTATTTTTTTTTTGATTTTTGTGTTAAAGAATCGTTATTGTTATTAACTTTTCTCAACCACTAAACTCTCTCTCTCTCTAACTATTTTCTTAGTTATTTGTTCAGCTTATTGAGCGTTGTTTTCAAATACTACAATACATAAATCGATAAAGAAAAAGATATTTTGAGTAGGAAAGGAGTTCAATATAATATGAAATAAATTATAGTTCATATATATACTGAGATGTTAATTATAGTTTTTATTGGTTCGAAAATTGACTCGTGAATGATGAAATAGACAAACTAATAATCATTAGATTAAAATTCAAATCACAAAATTTGAAAGCATATACGGTTACATATTGCAATTTTAAAAAGAAGCAAATCTTAATTTATATTTAGATTCAATAGTTAAGTTATTTATTTAAAAAGTAATTCTATGTTGGATAAATTATATTTATCTACAAGATAAAATTAAAATCACCAATAATATATTAAACTTTAGTTGATCTAAACATTAAAAATTTTGAAGTCTATTTTACAATATTCCATTTTTAACTTTTCTAGAATTGACCTTTTTATTCAAAAAGATAAGACTCCATTTCCTTTTTAAAAGAAGTCATGTTGAAGTTAAAGAATGCCCGGACAATCCAATTTTTCGGAAGTTAAAAGTGCTTATTTTTATGGGGGTTTTACCTAGATATACTGTATTAGATACTTATTTACCTATGTTTTCTTTATTTTGTAGTTTTTAATAAGTATCTAGGTTTTTCTTATAAATTGTATACATTGCTCCTTAAAAGGCTCCCGCCCCATTATTAGTGCCTTCAATTAAGAGATTCAATTATATCCTTTCCTTTTTTTCCCATCTCCTCTTCTCTCTCCTTTTTTTACATCAAAATCCCTTAATCTACGCCCAAAATCTCCATCTTCTCTCTTCCCACCATTGCCGACAACTTTATATTATTAAAGAATCATCAATTGTATCGTTCTTTTGCTAGAAGATTGGACAATACTGAAAATGACGAATTATTCAGGAATTGTCTGATAATTATATCATAATTGTATTTGAATTGTATCAGGTACATCAATGCCTAAAATATAATTGTATCATACTTGTATCACAATTGTTTCTAACTTGTATCTAGTACATTAATACCCAGAATAATACCTGATACAATACTAATAAATTAATATACAATTATCATATATTTGAGATACAAACTGTGAAATTCGTCTCGAACGTATAACTACTCGTAACAATGTACAATGAATATACAATTATCATATATTTGTCATACAATTCCTGCAACAATTATGATATATATATATATATATATATATATATATATATACACAATTATAATACAACTGCGATACATTTTTGAAAAATTATGTTACAAGAATACAAGATTCAAAACTTACCTACAACCTGATTCTAGAGCAATTATTCTGAATTTCGTCTGCATTGTATCAATAAGAAATAGAGATTTTGGGTGATTAGTAAGAAATAGAGAATTGGATTTGAAAACCTTTGGAAAAAGGAAAAGAATCAGAAATTTAGGGGTGGGTTTATTATAAAAATAAAAGAGAGATTTAGGTGATTATTAAGAAAGGGAGAAAAAAGAAACAAAAATCTTAAATGTAGGAGGGTTATTGGAAATGGTAGGTGAGCGTCGTGTAACTAACATGCTAAAATTAAGAGATCTTGAATTGTTTTCCTTTTAATAGTTTTGTATATAATTAAATGTAGATATACAAAGTAATTAATAAAAAGTCTAAATAAAGATGGTAGATAGGTTTCTATTATAGTATAGCTAGATAAAAATCTATTATTATTAAATGTCAAAAGTTAACAGAAGAGAATTGCAAGTGATTGGGTAGGAATATTAAAAGAAGTTTATATAAGGGAAATATTTAATTGAAAACCTCTTTCATAGTTAAATAAGGAAAGAAGCAATATGTAAAATTTTAGCCATTTAAAAGTCCTAAATATTAGGAATTTAATTCAAATAAAAATTTTGTCCAATATAAAATTTATTTTAAAGGACAAAAAAGGGTGAATAATATTTCGCTAAGTGCTTTCGTACTTTTAATATAGCACAGATAGATATAAATATAGATTTGATGTAATTTCAAAACTTAGGTATATCATGAAAACGAGTTTTACAAATGGGTCTCTATATTATAAAACTTTGAAGAATTAACCCAAATAGCCGTCCACCCAATCGCTTAAACTAAAAATAGTCGGCGAAGGTATAATATATGCATAATTTATGTATTATATATATATAATTATATATAATCAATATATATAGCTAGAAAAAATAAACAATGAATATGGACGGCTATTTGCGTAAAGATCCCTTATAACTTCCCCATAAAAGAAAGAAAGCCTAGCACAAGTTAAAGGCCCAAATACTCCAAAAGGCCTAGTAAAAATATACCCAGCTGAATTAATTAAAACCCTATAATATACCATTACATGCACGAAAGCCCTAGCAGCGAAAAGACATCTGTATCAGCAGCTGCTGGAGCGTAGCAGCATCAACGGCAACCATGGTAAGTCAATGAGTTAAAACTTTCGAATCCTCCCATTGATTCGTGCTTTAATCCTTTTGCTTTTTATTTAGGGGAAGTATTCAAGGGAACCAGAGAACCCCACAAAATGTGAGTACTCAATATGATAAGACACATTTAAGTTGCAAGGCTCATGATTTTTGTAACATTATTTAGAGTGTTTTATATGGTGGTTTATTTAGTTTTCTAATATTATGATTTGGGGTTGTATTCTTGTATCAGCTTGCAAAGCTAGGGGTTCGGATCTCAGAGTTCATTTCAAGGTGTGTGATATATATATATA